CCCCAAAAAAAAAAAAATCCTGCCATATTCTCAAAAAAAATACCATTTTCTGCTCGTATATTTCTGTAGCATCTAAACATGGGCTTCGTCTCAGGTTAGGTAAATTCTCTGCTGAACACCAGAAAAATAAATTCCTGAGAGGACAACTAGAACAAACAATTCTTTGAACAGAATAAACTTGAAAGTTTTCACTATGATGTTATAGGTGAATGAATGCATTCTTCGTATAATTTCTTTTTCTAAATCATTGCTTTATTTTATTCAATACAGGAAATATTGCACCATTTTTCTCAATGTTTGGTGTGAAAAAAAACACTGAGACTGTGAATACAAAACAAATTACTCCCATAAAAAAACCACTTGTAATAATTGATGAAAGCAGTCAAGAATTTTCTTGGGACGATGAAGCATTCTTGTTGAGGCGTAATATGCTTTTAAGTCGTATGGCTGAAACATCTCGAAAACAGACCGGGGAAGATTTGAAAGCTGCTCCACTTCCTCAAGTTAGTCATGTGCAACAAAGGGGTAAGTTTAGTACAAGAAAGTTTTTTTTCTATTTCATACATACAGTCACTATTATTACCTTACCATTCCAAACTCCAAGATGGACGAATGGCGGCAATTTATGTGCTGAAATATCATCAAAATCAAGCATTTCTGGCATTCAGGAACCGCAATTTGGCTGTTTACAGATGGATTTTTTTCAAACTTGATATATACACTGGATATTATAGGACCTTGATGCACGCCATTTTGTTTTTCAGATTGGATTCAAATTGACCGACTGGCAGCCATTTTGTTTTTGTGAATGCTGTTCTAGTGCAATACCTCTGACATGCTTTGACTGATTATGTTCAAATTGTGTAAATTTATTATACATCGTGTCATAGATATACAGATGTATTGGTTTGACGATCTGATTAAAAATGGCTGAATGGTGGCCATTTTTGTGCTGAAAAATCATCCAAATCAAGCATTTCTGTCATTCAATCCAGAACCGGATCTAGGATTTTTACAGATGGACTTGATACATATGTTGAACATTATTGGACCTTGATGCATGTCATTTTGTTTTTCAGATGGGATTCAAAATAGCTGATTGGCGGCTATTTTGTTTTAATGAATGTGGTTCTTACATTTTATATAATATTATTCATTATACATCATGTCATAAATATACAGATGTATTGGTTTGACTATCAGATTTAAAATCGCGACCGATGACCATTTTGTTTTAATTAATGCTGTTCCAGAGCAATATTCTCTGTATGGACAAGTACTCATTTGACAATCAGATACATGATTGCTGAATGTCAGTCATTTCAATGTTAAAAAATCATAATAAGCCATCAATTTTTGAATCCATATCTCTGACATGTTTATGTTCCATATATATGACTATAAACAAAACTATATTATCCTAAATTTTTTTACTAACAGGGACTGTGCCATGCATGAAATTGATATGATTGAAGTATGTCTGTGTTCATATTTTCTGCATAATGTGAAATTCACAAATGTTAATACTCTATAAAATTTATGAATATATGTATAATGTAAAATACTTTATTTTAGCTGGAATTTATTTTCGCTGAAAAGGACTTTGGGTGTTTTGTACAGATTTTTTTCCGCTGATTTTCGATGAGTTGCATGTAAAATATAGGAAAAAAAGTATATTCACTGGATTTTATCTTCACTGAAGCATCCTTTCAGCGAAAGTAAATTCTAAGTGAAGATAAAGTATTCCACAGTAATATATAACCTTGAATTTATAAAGATTTTCAACTTTGACTTTTTGCTAGATGCGGCTAGAAACTCTTTGTGGAATCTCAGTCATCCAAATTTTAATTTCACTCTCAGAGAAGATTTCCTAAATAAGATTTGCAGAGTTACGATCTCAGCTAAAGAATTGAAACTTGGCAGTTTTACATCAGCGTTAGATAGAATGGAAATCTCTAAAGCTCTGATCAAGGTAAGTTATCTAGTGTTAACATATTTGCTCTTAAAGGTTGGCAGTTGTCGCGCCGCGTCCTGTTCGATATGGGACTCCTAGCAACGTATACAACGTGTGTAAAATACATTGTTTATTTACATGAAATTCGAACACGCGCTGCGCGACGACCACCACTGTGCTTTAAACCAAAATTTGCATTTATTGTATACAGATTTATTTTGTTGTTCTGTGTTTCAAATAAAATGAATGATATATTGAACCACTGATGTGCCCTGCAATCCAAATGAGATGATGATAGACATGATTTTTGATGCACTATTGACTCAAAAACCTTGATTCATAGGGAAAATATGTATTTAAGAGGGCACACTGATTTTGACCATGGAAACACTTTAGAATTGGTCATTTACTACAAATAGAGCAGATACTTTGCATGTGTGTGTTTCTAGTAGACTGGGGATCATTATATATTATTTTGATCATTCTACATGTAGAAAAAAGTATGGTTAACATAAATGTGTACATATATATTCTAGAACAGTAATAAGTTGGGTCAATTTGTGCAAGACATTGAACTGTGGGATTATCAAATTTCTTTTACAGAGTTGTGAAAAAACAGATTTATCATATGTAGTGAGAAAACAGTTACTACAAGAGATTGGTCAAAATAATCCTGGATTTCCTGTGAATAGATGGTTTAAAAGATATTTGGAAAAGTATAAAGGATTGGATTCCGATAAATCAAATCCAGCGAGTAAGTTTAAGTTTCTGTTACACTTGTATGTAATCCAGTTACTGAAGAGAATTAGTGTTTTATTTCATAGACTCACAGACACTGATGTATAAATAGAAATGAGTACATGTTGATTAGTTTACAGAGAATGATGTATACATAGACCTGTACATGTTTATTAGCTGACAGACTGATATATGAATAGGCATGTACACGTGTATTGGCTGACAGACTGATGTATAAATAGGCATGTACATGCATAGAGTGATGTATACATAGGCATGTACATGTTTATTGGCTGACAGAGACTGATGTATACATAGACATGTACATGTTTATTGGCTGACAGACTGTTGTATACATAGACATGTACATATTTATTGGCTGACAGACTGATGTATACATAGGCATGTACATATTTATTGGCTAACAGAGACTGATGTATACATAGGCATGTACATGTTTATTGGCTGACAGAGACTGATGTATACATAGACATGTACATATTTATTGGCTGACAGACTGATGTATACATAGGCATGTACATGTTTATTAGCTGACAGTTTGATGTATATATAGGAATGTATATATCCCTGATGTATCTATTGTCACAGTGGGCATTATTTACATCAGTCGCTGACTACCAACTCAAAGACTGCCATAGATCCTGCTATAGTTGGAATGCATACACCAGGGATAAACTAACTTTTATTGCCCGTACTCAATAAGTTAAGCAAATTGCGCCAAATTAATAGTGTAATTGAGATTTTTACAGATAAATCAAAGTTATTACAATTACTTGTTCATATTTTGCTCATCTGCTTGATCAAAACATCTATTTGCTGTGCATCCACCTGCTTTCAACACGATCCATGCTGTGGATCTAGGACTAAGGCATCAGTACATGTTCATTAGCTGACAGAGACTGATGTATAAAGGGCACCAAATTAACTGTAGTCTGAGTTACAGATACTGCTAGTTCCTCTGCCATTCTTCAAAATTTTTAGTCCAACTGGGCTTAAAAATAAGTAGTTAAAATGTTGATACACCAAAAAAATAACTGACTGTCCCTTGCAGAGTTTGTTGTCTTTTTTTGTATTCACAATTGTGTGCACAGCCTCAAGTACCAATTGACTACATACCTAAAATAATGATTATCATTTTGCCACCAAGTTATTCTTGCTAGACCATTCAGGCTGTTGTATTGATTAGAGGGTTTTATTGTCGCTGTCTAAAACCATCACACTGTCATATTGAGCCATGCTTTCTATGTTTGAATTTTGTTTTACGCAATCTATTTTACATGCCTCTGTATAGAATAAGAATGTTGACTGAAATTTTAACTCATTTTTACTCTCTGGCACAGGCAATTCAAATGAAAATAGCAGTGGAAAAGTTAAATCAAGAAACACAGCACATGTGGAAGGAGGGAAAGGCAGCAGGAAAAAAAAAAGGGAAAGCTTGGGAGAGAGTTGTAATAAACGGGAACGTAGAAGTAGTCGTAGATTACAAGAGAAAGTGAAGGAAAGTGATGTGGGTGAAATAAAGTGTGAAAGTGATGAAGTCCAACTAATTAATCCAGAGAAGAATGAGCTTGTCACTGGTAAGCAGAATAAATTTATTTTATAATGTAGTATGGATGTGAGACAATACATGCACACATCGTCACACTTGTTAATGCCTTGCAGTAAGTGGTTTAGCATGTTCAGGGAAGTTGTGGGTTTGATTTCACCTAGCTGCTCATTCAGCAGTGTAAATTCAATAGGTGATTTTCCGTTCAACTGTGAGATCTCGCGAGATGCATGAAAAACGCGCGTCGAACGTCTGCCGCAAAATCGAACGATTTGATTTTCAACTCGAATTTCTTTATTTCGTAGCTCACATCGACAGGCCGATCTTCGACAGAGGAATATTGATTCCGAATACCCTTACTTAATCGAAATTGTCTATCATCAAATGTATACAGCACATTATTAAGCATGGAAATGCCCCCAAAATATTTTCACGTTTATCGAATCCCACGCGATGTTTGACGCCACTACGACGCTATGACCTTTGTTTGTCCTGTTTTTACGTTCGATTTCACGCATAACGCGTGATTCTCGCAGTGTACGGAAAATGGTCTATTGCAGGCTCTGTCTGTCAATGTACTGTTCTTGCATGCTACAAATCTGTGTTAAAGTTTCTTCCTCAGTTCTTTCAAGATGTATCTTTCCAGATCAGTGTACATTCAATTGCAGGCTCTGTCTGTCAATGTACTGTTCTTGCATGCTACAAATCTGTGTTAAAGTTTCTTCCTCGGTTCTTCCAAGATGTCTCTTTCCAGATCAGTATTAGAGATAACGCTGATATGCCACAAGAATTCTTTTTGCCTCTCAAATAATGTTTCATTGTTTTCCTTCATTTTGTTTGAAATACGCATATCATTGCTACATAGGATAGCGAGAGAGAATAGAATACTTATATGAAGGGCAAATAACAAGGCATTTTTGCTCTCGCTCTCTCAAGGTCTTGAGGTCTTGATGTCTATTTGCATTTAAAGTCCATTAATCCATTTCTGCTGTTCTGAGTCAAATGCGAATGACATGACAATATCCTGGTATCTGCTTTCAGAATTCACCCTGCTTCGTCTTTCAAAATAGTCAGCATATGAAACTGTCCTTACATGTATGTGTGCACAGTTACAAGTTAAAATAATCATTTGCATCTATATTTACATTTCTTATGTTCATTAGATAAATGCTGTGATAGACTGTGGACTGATAAATACCAACCCTGTCAATCATCAGAAATAATAGGGAATAAAGACAATGTAAAGAAGATATTTTCTTGGCTGGGAGAATGGAAAGCTAGAAGTGACAGAGAAACAAGGAAACTCAAGAAACAGTTAAAAAAAGAAGCCAAGAAGAAAAAAGCTAAAACTGAAGATATTAAATCAGATGGTAATAATTATTGCATGCTAACAGGGATGATGCAATATGAAATCCCTGTTGAATTATTTGTGCATGATTCTGTTTATTAATATACAGGAATGAGAATTTTCCGCAAATTTCTAAGCCCCACGGATCGATTTTCTGAAACGTCTAAATCCGAAGAGAAAATTGGGGGGGGGGGGGGGTAAGAATACAAATCTTGTTCATTCACCGGAAGTAAACACACTGTCGGGTAATTGTTGTCGACTGCAAGAGGCCTGTATCAGTGTAAAATCAGAAGTGGTTTCGAAGTGTTTGAAGTAATATGTAACAATTAACAGGATTGGCTGGGTTTGCTCTGACAGGCCAATCAGTGAAGAGCTTTCATTTTTTTCTTTTCACCAACGGCGCCATTTTATTCGATATAAACTTTAGGAAAAAATTTCGTTGGCCATGGCTTGACAAGGAAGTGACTTTGACTGTGCGAATTGGGAAGAAAGATGAAGAGGTAACTGAAAAATTGAGTGACTTCATCGGCAAGTGCAAGGTCCTGGGCACAGTGTCTGTATTGTTAAACGATTTGATCAACTACAGTTCTTGGACCCCGGCTACTTTACTTTTAGCTGAAAATTTAAATTCTCTTTCTCATCCATGAATATAATTTATTATAAACCAAACCAAATTTGTATGCAAGTATGCAGAAAAATACTTGCCTATTCCCCCCCCCCCCACCACCACCACCAATCAGCACTTTGAAATGACAATTTACATTATTTGTATAGATTACTAAATTGCATATTTATTCATGGATTGATTGGTAAACGTAGAGTGAATGGTTTGCTGGAATGGGGATTATACCTGTATATACAAAGAATATAATACAATCTAAAAGCAAATACTGTGGAATACTTTATTTTCGCTGGAATTAATTTTCGCTGAAAAGGCTTTTTGGGCGTTTTGCTTGGAATTTATTTTCACTGATTTTTGATGAGATTAATGTGAAATATAGGAAAAAAAGTATATTCACTGGATTTTATTTTCACGGAATCATCCCTTCAGCGAAAATAGCGAAAATAAAGTATTCTACAGTATTTAGTAAGTACAATTCATTATTTGATTAACATTTATGTATTTCAGAATGGTGGTTTGATGATGATAGTAGTGACTTTGCCAGTGATGATAGCGACTACATTGACGAAGATGATACAATCTGTAATACTATGCTGATTGCTGGGCCATCTGGTATTGGTAAAACATCTGCAGTGTATGCATGTGCCATGGAACTCGGTTTTAAGGTAAAATATTTAATTTCCCACATTCACCTGACAAGACAGTACCTTGAAGGATTAGCAGTACTCTTTTACAGAGCTTGATATCTTTGGCAGGTGACATTAATCCTTTTGATACTCCTTGTGTCTTGGTGCTTTCAAAATACTCTGATATTTTATTTAGATATTTTAGTTACTGTATATATCTTTATTATTCATTGTGTTTTATTTTTGCAAAGAGCTATATTCGCTAAATTAAAAACGAGTTAATATTCAATTTGGCCTCAAATTTTGAATACTGTCATACATTGATATTATAGAAATATGTTAGAAAATATGATGAGATTATTACGAGGATACCTCAAAGTATGCATGAAGACAGTACAGCAGGAGTACCGATTGACAGGCAGTGGAGGTCAATGCGACAGTGTACTGTCTGAGGGTAGGATACACCATGGGAATGCTGAAATTCAAAATGTTTAGAACAGTATCATTAAACTTCTTTGTGTGGAATCCACTCAAACCCTGGTGGCAGCCATGTTTGTTTTTATTATTAGAGGATGCATACATACGCGCGTAATAATTCCATATTTGGCATTCGCATTTCCTAATATGATAGGATGGAAATACCCCATAAAATAACGCAAAATTACGACACGCTGTAACTTATGGCGTTACAGTGACAGATGTATAATAATGATACATATACTCAGTACACCAACTAATATCCATAATTTATACAAAGTAACTTTTTGTATTTCTGTCAGTTTTTTCAATTTATTCTATAAAAAAACTTAGTCTTTGTATGGAACTATCTACTTATAGGTTTTTGAAGTTAATGCATCATCCAAGCGTGGCGGTAAACATATCTTATCAGAATTAAAAGAAGCCACTCAGTCTCATCAAGTGTCAAAAGGGTCAGGAAGTGGTGCCCTCAGTCAGTTTCTTTCTGCTGAAGAAAAAACTACACAACAGAAGAAGAAAAAACAGATCCATTCTGCATTTTCATCATTCGTAAAGAAACCAGAAGAAACAAATAATAAAGTAGCAAATAAAAAGAAAAGAAACTCAAAAATCAATGAAAGTGAGTAATGCTACATGTACTGAGTCATTGAAAGCATGTGTCTTCTTGTAATGAGTCAATGAAAGTGGGTGGCCCCTGCTTGTAATGAGTCATTGAAAGTGGGTATCATTGCTTACAGTGAGTCAATGAAACCATGTGTGTGCTTGCAATTAGTCAATGAAAATGGGTACCCTCGTTTGTAATAGTCATTGAAAGTAGGTGCCCCTGCTTATAATGAGTCAATGAAAGTAGGTGTCTGCTTGTGACAGGTCAATGAAAGTGAACCCCCTGTTTGTAATGAGTCAATGAAAGCAGGGATCCTTGCTTATAATGAGTCAATGGAAGCAGGTGTCTGCTTGTAACGGGTCAATGAAAGTGGATGTCCTTACTTATAACAAGTCAATGAAAGCAGGTGTCTGCTTGTAATGGGTCAATGAAAGTGGGTGCCCCTGCTTGTAATGAGTCATTGAAAGTACTAGGTTTCTGTTTGTAATAAGTCAATGAATGCAGGTGTCTGCTTGTAATGAGTAATTGAAAATGTGTATTTGTGTTGGTATAGTGCATTACGTTGCATCTGGAAAAAATACATCATGTTAGATCTATGTACTAATATTAGATATATAGTCTAAAACTTGTCTCATCATCACTGATATTTTCTTGTTTTGTAGAGAAAAAGAACAGAAAAGCTTCTCCTAAAGACACAATAAGTGACTCAAATGTTGCCAAAATGAAAATAGCAAGTACTTCACTCATACTGATTGAAGAGGTAACCTTTTATACTCCATCATTTTCTCTTAGGCTACGGACTGCAATTGAACATTTCACACAGTTCAAATGAAAACAAAAACACTTATTATATTGTGTCTTTGCTGTAGGTTGATGTGATATTTGATGACGACAAAGGGTTCTGGTCTGCAATCAATACATTAATTGGAACAACAAAGAGACCAATCATCATGACAGCTAATGGTAGGTAGTGTCATCAATTAGGTTTATGTGTGTCAACAGATTATTTCTTCAATTATCTTGTTATTTTTGTTAACTAATTCTCCCAATACAGAAAATGTTGCGTCCTGGGTAATCTTTGTGCAATTCATAATGTGCAAGGATAAATGGAGTGATTGAAAATAAATCAGAGAATGTTGATCTCAAATATATAACCTCAGATTGTAATATATTGTGAAATAGTTGAGTGCAGATATGGAATAGTAAATTTTATTGTTTTCGATGCAAGATGTATAATAACATGCTATTCCTTGACAGATACAATATCTGCATCTCAGCTTGAAGGTGAATATGAACGACTGGTATTCAGATCCCCCACTGTGGTGAGTGTTGCTTTTCAAAGAAGTTTAGAATTATATACTAACACAAATTTTTACCAAAAACCACTATTATATTAAATGGCTTCTAATACCGATTTTACAGTATATCCTTATACATTGAAACCAACACTGAACATTGGTTGGTTTATAGAGATGTTTGATTATAGCAATCATTTGTATTATGTAAATCGAGGGCGCAGAACGATACTTTTAATTTAGTAAACAGTTTTTTGTTGAAACTGGTCATTTACATGTAAAATAGTTATTTTTGACTCCCATGTGCGAAGCACAAAATGGGAGTCTTTGCAGTTAGTGTGTCTGTATGTGTGTATGTGTGTATGTGTGTATGTGTGTATGTGTGTCCGACTGTTCCACTGCTATCTCAAAAACCATACATTGGTTTTTGATGAAACTTGGTGCATAGATGCTCTGGGCCAATGCGCAGATTTGATTAGGTTTTGGTAAAAATCCATGCTCGTTAATTACCTAATTTGCATGATAATTAGCTAATTTTTAGCTGTTCTATGACTGTTCCACTGATATCTAAAGAACCACTCATTGGATTTTGATGAAACTTGGTACATAGATGCTCTGAACATATGCGCAGATTTGATTAATTTTTGGTAAAAATCCGTGCATATTAATTACCTAATTTGCATGATAATTAGCTATTTTTTAGTGGTTCCATGACTGTTCCACTGATATCTAAACAACCACTCATTGGATTTTGATGAAACTTGGTACATAGATGCTCTGAACTAATGCTAGGTTTTGATTAGTTTTTGGTAATAATCCGTGGATACTAATTACCTAATTTGCATAATGATTAGTCAATTTTCGGTTTTTTCACTGATATCTCAAGTACTAATCATCACATTTCAATGAAACTTGGTACATAGATGTCATACGACACTGCACAGACCTGATAGTTTTTATGGTAATATCAGTACATATTAATTACCTAATTTGCATAATTAATTAATTTTCAGCATTTGATATAAGTAGTTAGCATTACATTTCAATGAAACTTGGTACTTACAAACTCAAGGACTATGCAGAGATTGATTGTTTTCGATAAATATTTGTGCATATTAATCACCTAATTTGCATAATTAGTTAATTTTCAGCTTTTCCACGGGTATCTCAAGTACTAATCATCGCATTTCAATGAAACTTGGTACATAGATCCTTTAGGACTATGCAGAGACCTGATTAGTTTTAGGGTAAATAATTGTGCATATTAATTACCTAATTTGCATAATTAATTTTCAGCTTTTCTACTGATATCTAAAGTACTAATCATCACATTTCAATGAATCTAGAATTATGCAGACCCAATTAGTTTCCGGTAAATATTTGTGCATATTAATCACCTAATTTGCATAATTAACCAACTTTCACACTGATATCTCAGGTACTATACATCACATATCAATGAATGTACATGGATGCTGTAGGACAATAGACAGACCTGAATAATTGTGGGTTAAAATCTGTACATATTAATTACCTAATTTGCATAATTAACCAATTTATCTTTCACACTGATATCTAAAGTACGTAAAA